GGCCCGTTGTCCTTGCACGCGCGCGAGGAAACAGATAGCAATTCCCACATCTCCTCTGTTTTTCTTTTTTTAAAAGACAGGGAGTGTTTTAGTTCCAACAGCAGCCTTTGTTAGGCGCGTAGGCAAGAGTGCTGTGTATGCTGATGTTATCCATGGCGTTCGTGACTTCTTCGACCATCACAAACATCTTGTCCTCGTCTGGGTCATCACAGGTTGGCTCTCCCATTTCTTCTTCGGATGGCAGTGGTTAGTTATTTGTTGATTCCAGAGAGCCATTACCTGTGCAGTGGCTTTTTTCTCAGCCAAAAGGGATAAACTGTTAGAAATAGTGCGTACAAAGATAGGTAATACACAAGGCAATATAATAGATCCTGCAGCAATCATACCAATAAGCGCTACAATAGCTTGCAAACCAGGTAATTTTGGGAACCAAGATTCAAACATGTCTCTAAAATCAAGACCATTGCATGTTTGTACAGGTACATGTACAATCTTGATCATTCTATTAGTAATTTGTTGAATAACTTTTCCACTATCATCTATTTCAATACAACAATTACTAAGATTAAATTTTCCACACACTCTTCCTTCTTTGGCAAGAAGATAATCTAACGCCAAACGATTTTGCATGATATATGTTCTAGACAATGCACTTTCTTTAGCTAATGTTTTCAAAGCAAGAGCAGTTTCATTGGTTATAATTTCTAATACAGCTTGCAACCTTATAATTCTATTGAGCATATATATGTGGGGGTATGGTACCCTCTTGTTTCAGGTAAGTGAGTGTACAAGCAAGTAGGATTACATTTGTTAGTGGTACATGAAGTAGAGCTTGATTTAACAGTGATATTAATATTTTGAGGGCCTCTTACTTGAGCAGAGTCAATAGGTGGGGTGTATCAGTAGTTGTAAACAGTGGTGGCCCCCACATTAGTCCCGGACACCTTTTGGAAGAGATATTTCCTTTCCTGTAGATAAGATCTTTGCCAGCTGTGTGAGCCGCAGGTGACTCCTGCAGCGTCGTTAGGACCTTGACCTTTGTTGATGGCAAAACAAGCATCAAAACACACAAAAGTGTTGGTAACCCCCCGAGTGACATTATGGGTAATGTACCCATTTTTTGCTTGACTGGTAGAGAACATTGAGGCAAGGTCAGAGCTGGATCCTCCTTTGTAGGCATAGACATACAGTGAGGCGGTGATGGGCCCCACAACCTCTGGCTCGTAGCATTGGATACCTTGTTTGGTGTAGCATCGTGCATATTGAGTGTTGTTATGCAGACAAGGGGAGACTGTCATGGAGTTGCATTCAGGCTTCAAAGTATGATAGATCAGGGTGGACTGGGTCTTCGTTCCGCTGCGAGTAGTTTTGATGCAGGCATCACAGGAGGATGGGGTGGCTGTCGTATTGGCAGGAACGATGTGGAAACCCAGGAAGCAAATGATGAATGCAGTGGGCAGCTTCATGATGCTGATGTAGGCAAGGCTGGTTTGGGTAGAAAAGGCCTTACGTGTCGTCCAGGGACCCGGATGGTGTTGTTGTTGTCAGCGTACCCTCGTCCCCAGGTTATAAGTTCAGCAGGACCTTTCCACTGAGGATCTGGCATGATGCTGATGAAAATATACCGTTGGTCTGGGTTCAAGATGAGGCGAGGAAGCGACATGACATGATGCTGCTGTGCATGGGGGGGATCCGGACTCATTGAGGAAGTTAAGAGTAAACAAGCAAACATTCAATGCATTCTGGAGTCCTGGCAACCCTGTGACATTTTTAAATTTGAATTTAAACTGTCTGGCCAAGGCTTTTTTATTTTGATGAAAATAACTATGACTGTCCCAGAGTGTTTGTTGTGAAAGAATCATGCAAGAGATGGCGCTGTCTGCGGTTGCAGCTGCCGCATCAGCCATATCATTGCCTTCCTGGAGAATTCCTGGGAAGGGTTGGTGGCTGCAAATGTGTGCTACAAAGAGCGGGTGCTGGTGCTGTGCAACAAGGTGTTGCAATGTAACAAAAAGAGAGAGAAGATTTTTAGAGACAGAGACTGAAGTGAAGGATAGGCAGTAGTTGAAAACATTTTATGCGTATGGAGTTAGTACTTCAATGAAATCAATCTGTGTTCTCTGGAAAGGCCAGCCCATCAGGGGTCGCCCTCCCATTTCTTTTTTCCTTGCTACTTTCTTGTTTACTTTCAAACATACTTTGCATTCACAGAAACCACCTTCACCCCTTCTCAGTTTCCCAACTCATCTTTCTCTTTTTCCTCAGGTTTCCAATCCTAACAACTCACATTTCTGCGCAGACCATGAAGGAAGGGAGGGAGCCCTTTTATGACCTCCCCTGCTCCTATCATGACTGCAAATCCTGATTTCCTCTTTCCTTCTTCAACCCTGCTTGACCCATCCACCTACTTGCAACAAACAATCATGGTCCTCAGTTCCCACGATTCTGCAAGCCTTTAGATAGTCCGAGAGGGAAGCCCCCCCTCGGGCAGATAGAGGCTGCAGAATCCTCTTTCAATCCTCATTTGCATTTTCAACAACCAGTTTTAACAGACTAAGAGATTTTTTAGGAGTGTTGAGGAAGATGTATCCATTCTAAGATAAGGAGGTTGCTAGTGTGCTGAGACTTTTGGGTTAATACAGCAGTAGGTAAGGAGGGGGTGTATTGAGCAAGATTAAGGAAATAGGAGCATTGTTGTGACATCGGTTGACCCACCTTTTCTGCATAATGCGCTATGTGTCCTGGGTGATTTTTAATTGATGATCTGTAATGGTAATTTTATCCCCTGGAGTGGTTCCTCCCTTTAACACATCAAACAGGGGGTTGAGCATGTGTGTAGTGATGCCAGAATAGGGACGGGTCCAATTAATAGCCCCTAAATATTGTTGTAATTGTACGAGGGATGTCTACACAATGGCATCACGTGTGGATGGACTGAAACTTGTATATCAAAATTTTAAAAAAGAAAAGCAAGAAGGGAAAGGTGTCCTAGGCACTCTTTTCCAATATTTTACAAGGAGAAGCAAGGGAGAAAGGAAGAGATGAGAGGCCTTAAGCAAAAGTTCTCCAGAGACAATAGACAAATTCCACTGAAAAAGGGATTTCAGAAAGGCACACAAGACCGCATTTCTACACCTGCATCCAGAAATAACCATAGAAAACTGGAAACAACATGCAATTCAAAATGTGACAAAACACTCAGTGTAATCTAGTGAAACCTTTGCCAAGAAAAGGAGAGTACTGTAATGAAACAATGATTTAAGACATGGGATGTGTGTGGGGGGAAACAATCCCGGAAAGCATAAGTGTTTCCACAAAGGCATGATATCTAACCGAAAGGGGCAAAATGTCTAAGACATAAATGATTGTCAACATCAATGATTAGACTATGTTATCCCAGCGAAACTTTTTGTGAAATGAGAGATCCGAAGTAGGAGAAGGGGGAACACTGCAATGAAATAATGATCTTATAATATGTGATGTGGTTTAACTGAAAAGCAATGCACCAAATGTTCAAGACACAAATGAACATCAACACTAATGAATAACAATACTGCACAATTTCAGAATGCACCAGATAGAATCCCAGTGCAAATTATGTGTTCTATATTAAGTATTACAAATATAGGGGAAAGAGTTAAAGGCATCACACTCCATTCAGTGCACAGGAGAAGTTTTTCTTCAAAGAAGAAAGACAAATGGATCGAATTGAGAGGAGATAAAATAAAACCGAGAAAATTCAAAAGAGAGGAGAAGCTATGTAGAAAATTGAAAATGCCAATAAGATGCCAATGGTATGCAAAATGCCAATGGTATGCAAAATGCCAATGGTATGCAAAATGCCAATGGTATGCAAAATGCACACGAATCTGAATCTGTGTCTGTACCAAGAGTTTTGACCCAGGACTAAGCAACTTTCAGAAAAGAGATTTTTTAATGCTTTTATGTTTTGTGTTTCTGTGTATCCATGTTCTGCATGTCTTTAAAAATTAACAAAGTTTGTTTAAAAAAGAGAGAGAGGCTGAGAGTTTTGAGGAAGGATAGAGCAGATCGGGAACCACAGAGATTCCTTTGAGAAGGGCATGAGGGTGAGATTGTAAGAGCAGTTTTATCGGAGAAGAAGGAGGCAGAAGGAGGAAGCTGTGTGCTGACAGAGATGGGGAAAGGATATGAACACATCTTCTGCCATTGATAATTCATACACAGTGGATGGTATATGGGCAGCCTTGGGAGAGGGGCTAGCTGCCGGCCCCTCTACTGTCGAGCATCTCTGCTGGCGGAGGGCTTTGCTGCCCCCCCCGCCGGGGCTTGACATTGTGATTTAAAATGACCAGGCTTCCCACAATTGTAACAATTACCAGATGGTTTATTACCTCTGGTGATAGCTGCAGCCATCATTTCGGAAGTGTCTAAAGAGGCTTTACTGAGGGGTTTTTCAAGAGAGCCCCCTCTTTTAAAAAGGAAAAAATTTCGTTTGGTTGATTCTCTTAGTTCCTCAATGTGCAATTTCTGGTCCCGAGAGAATCCTCCACCTATACTCACGAAGGGATCCACGGCGATCGCCTGCGATCGAATCAGGGATGAGGTATACCAAGGCTATGCCAGCCGATGAGTATGGATGGTCCAAAGACGTACCACCTCGCAGATGATCACGTCGGGGTCACCAGTTATGGTGGTCTCTCATGAATGAAGACACTGAGGCAGTCGTCTTGAAGCCAAATCGGGATGAGAGCACAGGGCAGGCTCTGACACCCTCTTTTATTAGAAGCAATCTTTGTTATCGTTTGCAATTTTTTGTTAGTGTGTTGTTACAAACTCATTACATCACACAAAATACCATATGAGAATACAAAGCTGTAAAGTTTAAGTTTGCTACAATTCTGGGTAAGAAGTGGCAACATTTCGACCTTGTCCCTCGCCTCGTGTTACAAACAACTACCAGAAGGCCCGTTGTCCTTGCACGCGCGCGAGGAAACAGATAGCAATTCCCACATTCTTACTTTCCAAGGCCAAAACATTCCAGCCGAACGGATGTGCCTTTTGCTGCCTGTATAGTCTCTGGAAAACGCACTTCAATTTTTGGCTCATATTCTCCCATCACACCTGCTGAATACCAAAAAAGCTTGTAGCTGAGTTGTGCTTCAAACCTACTAATACAAAATAGCAGCATTTTTTTTTAAAAAAAAAACAAAACCAAAACCTGCGGAGTAATTTGTGAACTAACAAGTATCTTCTAGTGAAACCAAGAGTGAACCACTATGGAGAACTTCATTTTTAGTACAATGACTAATATAAATTCCACAAATTAATTCTCAATGGTGAGTCCCCTTGACCTCTTGATCCAGATTATCAAATGAGGTCAAGCTTTGTCAATTACCAGAACATGCAGGGCTTTCTGTTCCGATTCATAAAATAAATATATAGCTAAATAAATTGAGTTTTAAAGTCAACCAATCAGAATTGGGGGGGGGGGGACCCAATAAAAATATCCTGCCAAGTGCTTTTCTGTCTTAATTTTGAAAGAAGTCAGATTTAAATATACTGATTGGTGTTTACAGGAAGTAAAATGAAACAACTCTCATAATAAGCCTGGTATAGAAACATATTTGTAGAGCAAATGGTTAGGAGAAAGCTGCTTTGTAGTATGAATTCAAACTGATATAGTCATAGTTACAGTACACATTAGTCTATCAAGGATGAAACAAATTTATTTATGATTATTAGAATGTTAAGCAACTATCAGGGACACCATATTGAAATGGATGCCATAAGGACAAAACCATTCCCAAAATGGGACACAACCAAGTCAAATATACTTAACATCAATTTTAACTAATTAAATGATGTACATTAATTAATCAAAGCAGGCATAGACCTTTAAAATAATTAGATTTCTTCCCAGCACCCATTCGGTTCATAATTCTACTAATAAATTTATTTCCTCCTCCTAGCTGTAAAATAAATTTATTACCTGTCCCCCATCTATTAGCAAATGACTTTTCATGAACTACCATAGCTTACATTAAATTAAATTTACAAATTGATTGCCCAATCCAGTGTCTATCACCTTTATAATGAATTTTACAATTGATTTCCAAAACCCAAGTCAAGACATTTCATAGAAAAATGGGTTGTCATAATAAAAGGGACTGATGAAAACATGCAAATAGGAATATCTTCATTGTTCTGGCCAAAGCATCAAAAAGAGACATATAGTCAGAGCTACATATCCCAAACTTTTCCCTTTCCTCTAAGTTAGAGGTATAACCATAGTCCCAGTTTTCCTGTCTGATATTAAAGATACATCTATTCTTCCCAATGAAAGAGATGATATTACCTGTTATTACCTAAACAAATATCTATTGGAGGAAAGCAAGTAAATGAATGTTATATGAATATTATCCCTATGACAATATAATGTCTAATTTAAAGGATTCCACATTATTCCTCACTTACTTATCTGGATATAGCAATCATCCGAAACTCTCTGTTATTTTTATTTTTGTGGTATAAGTATGTCATGCTCTGAATTTTGTTGCTATTTCATCAGAACATTTAGTGTATTCTATTTAGATCCATGGCTTGGACGAAGCAATCACATTTGTTAATGAATTTTTGAACTATGCATTTTGAATTGTGAACATTTAATTAAAAATATTTTTCCCCCAGAAAGGAGGCTACTTGCTTCAGTGCCTAAGTGGGATTAGATCTAGTTTGACGCATCTTACATTTGAACAACAAATGCTTATTACATCTGAATTTGAAGATTCTTGAAAGAATGCAGTTAATATAGGCATTAAGATTTGGCTTAGTCTGCTCTTTTCCATTGCAAAGAATTTGGTTATGAGGCTTTTTAATGTCATGCTTTTATGTGGCATGACAGTTTAAACATGAGAGTAGAGAGTTTCATGGCTTCCATCTAGGATGCAGTTAAACCACCCTAGTCTTTTGTTGGTGGCATTGACTGTTAGTCATTCAAGATGCGGTAGTTTAAACTGATGTCCTGGAGCCATATCTACTGAAATATCCCAATGACTCCTAACAATTGGACTTCCCTAGACACTCTGGAGATCATCTCCAAGTAACATTAGTGGGGATTTATGAGAGTGCAGAACTTTTATTTCTGAAATCTCTCCTTTTGGAATGCCCTCCCTACAAGATAAGCATGGTACTGATCTTGATCCTTTCATCTAAACTAAGACCTTTGTGTTCACCTGAAGTAGATGGATAGATAGAAAAGAGATGAGAAAAGAGAGAGAGAGGGAGGGAAGGAGGGATAATATATTTTTGATTTTAAGTGCCCCTTATGGTAAATTCTCTCTGTCTTTGTCTCTGTCTCTTTCTATATCTCCCTCTCTTATTGTATACTGTCAGATATGCATTTCCACTATTTTACTGTTTACTGTTTTGATCAACTGTGAACTATCCAGAGAAACTATTTTTTTATTGGCTATTGGATTGCAATAGCAGTAGTGAAGAGAACAACAACAATGTTTTCCCCTCAAGATAGGGACTAGCAGTTTAATCTGAGTTGGGATTCTCCTTGATGAGGCACATTGCATCACAGAGGCAATACAATATTCCTTATCAAAGCAAAGGGATTTACTTCAGTAGTTATTTGACAAAACATGAAGCCTTGACCAGTAGTTCTAATAGGTGGAAGAAGGTTCTACATATCCTATTGGAATTATTAGAGGATATTGAAATTGCTGGAGGAGACATCAGATCATCAGAAGAGGGGAAGCAGGCAGAGTGATGTAGCTGCATTGCTTATATTTTTTGAAACAGGGAAATCAATGGAGTGATCCAATCAAACATTCATTAAATTGGATCATCTAACTTTTTAATGGAGAATTTTTGGCATCTTCTCCCAACAGATTTAATTGGAAGAACAAATGTCACCATACAATCTGAAGTCAGTTGTGAAGTGTATTCATTTACCATTCATATATATGTAATGGGATGTGAGAATGACCTTGGGAGACAGGAGGAAAAACTGCAACTTTGTCAACTATCATACAAAAGGTATCTCAGCTCACAGAGGAAAAGAGAGTATGGAAAGCATCTCATAGGAGTCCATGTCTGGTTTTCTAGAAACAAAAAGTAAGGACAGAGAGGAGATGTGCAACATTCTGTTACCGTAGCCTTACAATAGCAATAGGTTTAGTACTCATGGGTTGTGTTTCTTGTCTAGACTATCTTGAAAGGGTGACAATATCCTACACATTCTTCAATTCCTTCATTTTATCAACAAAAATCAGATATCAGGCAAAGACTTAAAAATGTAGGAGAATGAGAAGCAGAGCCTGGGGGATAGTCAAGAGAGGAATCAGCCTGGAGTTGTTACATTCCCAAAAGTTGTCTAACTCAACCCTCTTGAATTCCATTAACTCTTAACTAGTGCTGACCATTAGTTGACTAGATTCTTGTGTATTGGCATGAGCAATAAATCCACTTTGTAACTCAGAATGTAGTGTTGATTTTCATGTCTGACCAAAGAATCCTTAAATCAAATGGGTAGTGCAAATATATATTTTCTTAAGTTTTCGCGGGTACTTACATGTATGGCCTTCAGCTTTGTCCGGGTATTTTCCCACGTCATAGTAGTGGTGCTTTTAAAGTTGTAGCAACGTTTCAGCAGAATCTCCTCTGCCATCATCAGGCTTTTGTATTGTGTTCTGCTGAAACGTTGCTACAACTTTAAAAGCACCACTACTATGACGTGGACAAGTGGTGTGGGTGGCCCTTGAACACTTTGTTTTATTTCTCTGTTTGATACATCACAAGTGTAGATACCCACATCAGATGCTTCCACTTTGGCAATATATAGATTTCCTGTTTCTTGAAAGACAAACTGCCAATCATCTTCTTGAACATATAAGGGATTATTGTTGAAAATCCAAGCGAATGATAAATCTGGAAAATATCAAATGCTTATTGCATATATTTTCCTAACAAAATTGGGAGAGTTAACATGTTCAGAACATGAAATATTTGTAATGAACTGATTATCTTTGCTTTGGTTTTGCCTATCAACAAATATTGGATATGTTTCATGTGTTTTTCATATTGGTTTTTAATGCAGACATGCTTTTTCTTCATTTTTATCCTAGTGTGATTACAATAAAATAGTACATATAAGAAGTGATTGATGAGGACATGTGTGTGCGTAGCTCCACTTATGTGAGCAGCAGATGAGCAGATTTGTGTGCACTCAGCTCTGTTTGTGCAAGTGGCGGGTGCATGTGACCTCTGCTCGTGCAAATGGTGCTGATCATGCTCACCTGCTGCTTCATGCTCACCCTCCGCTCACGCACACTCATGCTCTCCCACCACTCGCATGTAACCATTCCCTCTTCTTTCCTTCTCCGCTGGTCCACAAAGCTGGAAAGGTTGGGGATTGCTATGCTAAATCACAGATATTTTGATGCTTTGGAATTCATCTTGTAACCTTTCAGCCATCATAGATCACAATCCTTGCTGTCAACTTGAAAGCAATTCCTGCATAAATATCTTCTTCCTTTTCACACTTCAGACAGCATGTGATCCTATATAACAGGCTCAATCCTATTGGCCAATGTTGGGATCAGACTGACAGCAGACAAAAAGAAAGATCTATATTTTGATCTTCACTGCTTTACTTCTTCAGTTCCTTGTTTAGACAAGATCCTGGGGTCATCAAAATAATGTGATAATATAAGACAGATTGCCATGCTTTCCAAAGTTCATTGATAGTTATAAATAACAACTACTTTAGAATCAGGTTTAAGGAGAAGCAAGCTTCTATTGTACTAACCTATTAATTTATTTTAAATTTTGTCTTTGAAAAGCCAGGAGTGATTTATTTTAATGATTCAAAGATAAAAAAAAAGTGACATCTGAAGATGGCAATCTTTCTCACTCTTGACTTGGATGAAGAAATTAGTACAAGTTGTCAGAAAAAGCAAACCCTTAACACTCAACCAGTATATTTATTTGATTGATTTTTATCCTGCCTTTCCTCTAACAGCTCAAGAAATTGCACATAGCCCTTATTCCTTCAATTTTTCTACAAATATATCTTGTACTGACTGTTAATAACTCAATTAATCCAAAGTCACCCACTGACTTTCCATGTTTAGGGTGGAATAAACAAAATTTCTGGATAGCTCATTGCTTATACAGCTTGATAATTTCTCACAGCCTCCCACTTCACATCCCATCTATGCCTGATAGCTATTTAGTGAGGTTGTTCTTAAACATGGGTTTGTACTCTTGGGAGAAGCAGTAAACCCATGTTCAAGCAACAGCTGAGAATCATAGAGGGAGATTGCACCAAGAAAACACTAAAGAACACCAGCCTTTTCCTTCCAAATTTCACCGATAGCCTCTCACTGCCACACTTAGTCAATTTCCACATGGGCTTACAGATTTGATGGATATAAGAAACCCTGGTTTCAAAAATGAACTCTCCCACTGCCCAAGAAGAATGGCTCTGGCGGGTAATACACAGTCTGCAGTGCAGAAGTGTGGTATACATTTATACCAGTGGCCAATAAGTATTGGTCTGACCTCAGCACTGAGAGGTCACCTTAGTGTAATATTGATCAAAGCTCATGGAGGTTGCACCCAGAGAAAGATTATTGTGACTTGTTGCCTGATTAAAAAGAAAAGTCCATTTTAGAGTCAAAAATGACTTGAAGCTGACTCAGGTATAGGTTAGGGATTAATAGAAAGCAACATGAGAAGAACCAATTTCATGTAAAGGACCATGAGTTCCATTCCTGTTTTAGGCATAAAATCCATCTGGGTGACTTTGGGCCAATCAGCCTTCCAGATCTATTCTGTTCTGTTCTGTTCTAATTTCCTAATCAACCCAAAGAAAGAGTCAATGGCAAATCACTTCAAAATTTTTGCAAGAATTTTTTTTCATTTCATTGCCAGGTGTGAAGATTGACTGAAAGGCACACCAAATCGAAGTGAAGCAAAATCCAGGCTATGGCAGAAGAGCGGAGAGATAGACAGTTTGTGTTATGTAAGTGGAGAGGTGAGATACCAAGTATGTTTTCCAAGTTAATCAGCAAGAGCTTTGGCATGAGCAGAGGCAGTAAAAATTCCATGCAGGAAACAGTGTACATGGTTAATATTTAATGCCAGCATGACTAAAACTGTGAGTCATAGTTGAACATGCATTTTCTTGTATTAGCTAAAGCTTCTAATTTTTCCCATGGGTTTGTTTCTTGTTTTTAACTGATTGTTTTGTTTTGTTCTGTATTAGGATTTCACAGAAGAAACCAAAACACTATCATTTCTCATGTGATGCAATTCTGAGGATGGGGAATGGGTGCCCTATGGCAGCCCTAAAACAGCATGCCATGGATCAGGAGAGCTGGCTGCTTTGTCTAAAACTAGGTTCATGGCTAGCTGCTTTCGTGTTTTTCAAGCCAGGAGATAGCTAAGCCAATGTACAGTTTCTAAGATTTAATGCCTTTCCAAAAATTGCTCTTAAAGGGATATTCTTTCAGGATATTCAATTCAAACAAAAAAAATTGCCTGTGTGGTGAAGAAATTATTAAAACATGAAGACATGTTTTGTTACATTGCCTTTATTATAAAGATGTCCAGTTCCAGATAATAATTCTCCATCTCAGATTCCCAGGCCACCCATATTCATTCTATTTACAATTTTTATCCTCTAACTAATGTGATTTCATTTCTCTTAATGCGGCTTATTAAGTAATACATTGATCAGATCTGTTTCATAATTAGATTTATTACAATTTTTATTTCCTTTCTCAAAAGTGTATTCTTTTTTTATTGGTCAATGACCCTAATAAAGTTTATTGAAAGATTGATTCATTCATTCATTAATACTGAAATGAAATTCCAAAATGCCTCCATAACTTTCTCTTCAAAAGTTTCTATCTTTAAAATTAAAAAAAAAATGTCAAAGAGATCCCATGGTGGATTCACTGTCTAAACTGATCTCAATCTCTGTTGAAGTCTTTTCCCTCCAGTCCTTTGATAGCTCTATCCACACTATACTGGTATAAAATGGATCTGCATTGCTGATACTATCCTTCATCTCTTACCACTTTGTTTCAGTCACCCAATTTCCTTCTAAAAGTTTGCTTCAAAACTTCAACAGATTGTAGGCACCTTGAGACTGCCCTTGAAGGATTTCAGAATATGGGAAAAACTTATTTTAAAACCAATATAATTAAGAACAACTTAAGTGTGTTTCACTTTACTGGGACTGTGATGAATGCATAGGGACAGAGTAGAAAAAAAGACATTGGCAGAGTAGATGCCAGTGAAGATGGGACAAACATGGACAGTCTCAATAAACCTCACCAGTTAGATAAAATCTAACACAAGATAGTCCTATATGTGTACAGTAGACATCTGCCAATAGAAAAGCATATATGTTGACTTCAGCATGAGTAAGAACTCTGTCTCATCATGATTCTTCATATACACAGAAACGAATGCAGCTTCAATGCTTATGCCCCAAACCACTTTTTGTTAGGTTAATTGATTTCCTATGGATGCTGACATTGTCAAATCAACATTGCATGATGCTAGAAATAATCAGATGGTGAACTCTCCGAGATATTCCTATGGTTAGTGTAAGATAAAAACAAATAATTGTTTGGACTTGTTTTGTTTCTAAATGAGTATATGTAGTTATTTTATGTAGGTTTGCTTATTTATTTATTTATTTATTTACTTACTTACTTACTTACTTACTTACTTACTTACTTACTTATTTACTTATTTATTTAATATGCTACCCATCTCACTGCTGAGTGACTCACAACTGCAGTCTCCAATCTTTCTGGCTCCACGGACTGGCAATGGTGGTGGCAGCGGTGTTACCAGTCCATGGCCCATGGTTGGTGAACCCTGACTCGCTATACTTTTTTTTCTAGGCATTATTGGTGATGCCTTGAGTTTTGCTATGTTGTTTAGAGTTAATATATCACCATATATTGATACTGTAACTAGAAGGACATTAAATTGGTACTGATAGACATGAACTACAAAAGTAGCTATTGAACTGACATCTATTCCATTCAATGTTTCCTTTAGAATGGATCCCAGATTTTTTTCCTTTTTTTGGATTATGCACTTTGACATTTTGATGTTTTGACAATCAACTAACCTTTATGCTAACTTTTTTTTTTTACGGGTCTCTCCCCTTCTCACTCAAAATAGCTATTTTCTGTAGGTGCTGGTACTTCATCTGCTTCCAGATTTCCCTGATGCTCTAATCTGTGTGACTTTCTGCCTTTCTATTTTGTGGCTTCTCACCTTCTGTCACAATTTATTTTATGGCTGCCTGGAATTTGACAGTTGATGGTGGAGCTCTCTCTATCATGCTCCAGCAGTGGCAAGAGTGGCATGGAAATTATTATTATTTTTTTCAAATAAAGCACAGTAAATCAGAAATTTTGAAATTTAGCAGTTTAGCATTTCTTAATTAAATGTATAATTCATGAGTTTAAAACTTTCTGCCAACAGATTCATTTCCAAATGTTGCTTCTTTTCTTCACCCTGAAATTCCTTGCCATCCTCAATGCCATTTTACAAATATTATTTATGTTTTCAGTTGGAAAACCCGTGGGATGCTTGTGACTCTGTAAACAGCAATACTGAGGAACTTTAGGCTGACTTCCTATAATATTATGTGACTATAATTAGAAGCAGCAAGTCATTTGGAATCTATCAAAGATGTTTTCCTTTTGAAAATCTCTCTCTCTCTCTCTCTCTCTCTCTCTCTCTCTCTCTCTCTCTCTTTCTTTCTTTCTTTCTTTCTTTCTTTCTCTCTCTGTGTGTCTCTCTCTCTCCCTCCCTCCCTCCCTCCCTCTCTCCCTCCCTACATAATACAGTTAATCCAAGTTTTGCAGTAGGAGGTGAAATCATAACTGCAGCATTTTGGCAGACATGTGCCTGATGTTCAAAGCATGGCTTCTCAAAAACGCAAGCAGAAAACTGAGCAAACAACCAGGAAGAGCAAACAAGAATTTGGCAACGGAATTAGAAAATGCAGAAGAGATAGGACAAAGAAGAATGGGAAAGACTACGTTCACTGCTTCTGATGATGATGCTATCCATTCAATCCTGTCTGATTCTTGATGATTCTGTGACTGCTAATAGCTGATAGTTTCCTGACTGATGTTGATTTCCTGGATGATTGCCCACTATATAAAATAGGAGCATTGTTCTTGCTAACCTACCTGAAACACACAGGGGATCCATAAGAGACTGAGTTGCACCAGAACCGAACTCACTGGAGCAAACAGAGGACCAATGGGCAGGCACTCTTTCTTCTCCACTATTTTTCAGTCCAAGCTAGTGCTCACCAAGAGAGGCAGCTTGTGTGTACCTGAGACTATAGCAAGTAAACAAGGAAGATTTGCATGGAAGTTTAGTTAGAGGACATGGCAAAGAAAGCTTCAGGTATTTTAGACAATGAAGGAAGTGCATATATTGTGACTTGAAAAGTATATGCACTTGAAAAAGACCTAGATTATGCCTACTGCAATTACAAATTCATTCCTTTCGTGGGGAGAAAGTGCAAATTTTAAAATTAAAAAAAAAATTATTTATTATATTTTTTTATAAATAACTCAAGGCAGGAAACATACCTCTTTCCATTTTCCCACAATAACAACCCTGTACAGTGAGTTGGGCTGAGAGAGAGAGAGTGTGTGTAATTGGCCCAAAGTCATCCAGTTGTCTTTCATGCCAATGGGGAGACTAGAATTCAGTCTTCTAATTTGTAGCCTTGTGATTTAACCGCTAGACCACTTGAGAGAGCTGCGACACTGAAATGCATCAATGAATCTCTCCAGTATGGGAAGGGAAGTGAAGAAGACACCAAAGAACAGGGGAGAAGAAACCCCAATACATAGAAAGCTATACTTCCTCAAAAACAAACAAAAACAAAAACCAAGAAGAAAAGAAGCACTCAATACCAATAGATTTTGGGAACTGGTATTACATTTTTTTTTCTCTTTAGAAGATAGTCAGCTACTACTTTTGAACTAGGTTTTTCAAACTGAGCATAACCAAAACTCAATAGTTCCTAAGAAGTGAAGGACAAAAAATTCACTTGAATGCAGCAAATTTTCTATCACTACAGTTTGTCTTCTGATCTGGAATTCTGGGTTTTCTTTTTAACTAACAGGTACCATGATCTGAAAAACAATAAGAAACCCTTCTGCATAACACTTTATAGATCAATAAAATATAAGAGCCATTCAGATAAAGAAGAAACATGTAGTAGTAGTAGTATGTGAGTCATAATTAACCAAGGCTGCTAGCTAATGTGTGCAGACCCAACATGACATTGTGGGAAGGGTGTAGCCCTCAACTTCTAACAGTTCATTTAGTGACTGTTCAAAGTTCCAAAGGTATTGAAAAAAAGACTTATGACCATTTTTCACAGTTATGACCCTTGCAGCATTCCCATGGTCGTGTGATTGAAATTCAGATACTTGGCAACTGATTCATACTTATGATTGTTATAGGGTCCTGGATCACGTAATCACCTTTTGTAACTTTCTGACAAGCAAAATCAATGGGGAAGTCAGATTCACTTAACAGCCATGTCAGTAACGTAACAACTGCAGTGATTCACTTAACAGCTGTAACAAAAAAGGTAGAAAAACAGGGCAAAACTCACTTAACAAATGTCTCACTTAGCAACAGAAATGATGGGCTCAATTGTGATTGTAAGTCAAGGGCTACCTGTATTTTCCAGAACCACTTAACTCACAGCGCTTTATGTGACATCAAGGTTACAAAGAATATTCAACTTTTGGACAATTATTGTTTCCTCTTGAGACCTTTGAAGATTGGTCAAATAAGATGCCCAACAACAACATGACTAAATAGGCCTTGAAAGAATCTCTGCAGCATACATGACATTAGACAGGATAATAAAGCAACTGAGAACATAGGTAACATTTGTTATTAGTGCTTTCAGCTGAAATGCTATTGCAGAAGAGAAATCAGGATCTCATGGGTCAAAACATATTAAGCAAATGGCATTATTGTGAAAGATTTGGATTTTAGTTAACCTATATTATCTTCACAAAGGTCTCTTAGGAAGAAAATGTATATTTTAAAAAATTGGGAGGGGGATTGGTAGGTACCTTTTCAACCTCATCAAGGGAATACTAAACTAGAATATAGAAAAATGGAGTTTGAAGAGACCTTGGAGGTCTTCCAGTTAAGCAGGAGATCATGTATCATTTCAAAGCTTTCAGTGATTGAGCACCCACAACTTCTGAAACCAAATTATTCCATTGTTTAATTGCTGTTAAACCATTAGGGAATTTCTCCTTAGTTCTAGGTTGCTTCTCTCCTTGGTTAGTTTCCAACCATTGTTCCTTGACTTGTTTATTGGTGCATTGGAAAATAATTTGACTCCCTCATCTAGGAGAGAAACTAGGAGAAAAAGAGGTGGGAGCAAAACTTCAGAACTGAAAAGACATCTAAGGAAACACAAAAAGAGAAGTTGGGACAATGGATGAGAAATTAGAATTTTGTAGGACATAACAGAGATACAAGTAGCATCTGCACACTCAGAACTCAGATGTTGTTTTTTTAACTAAGGCAGTAAATTCAGGTAAGAGGTCTTTTTCTTAATTGAAGGTATTAGAAAAGATGTTAAGTTATCAGATGTTTCTGGAGGGACATATCATTTTTTTCTATTTTTTCTTTATTTTTTATATTTTCTTTAGTTTGTATTAGGTTTTTATCTTTATATTTGTAAATTTTAATAACATTATTGTAAAATGTATAAAGAGCTTGAAGCTCCTTTATAGATTTGAGTTTACTGGTTTCCACAAGTTTCCATAGGCAGAAGACTCATTTTCCAAAAGCAAAAAGCAAAACTGCAGCAATCTTATTTATATATTGAGATGTGTGCTACCTACCAACTCATTTTTAAGTATTCATTTGGTTTACATCTGCATTTGTGCTATTAAAGGCAGATTGAAATTTTGGGAGCTTTGGACTTTTTCTCTCCTCTCCTCTCCTCTCCTCTCCTGCAAATTGGACACCTGCAAATTCAGTTCATTATGAATAGACTTCTAGAAAGTGTTCAACACTGAGTTGTAAGTGACATAATTTTTAGTTGATGCCAATAGCAGGAAAACGGTCCTACCTATATGCTGTTTGCCTCTTTGTATTTTTTTTATTTTATTTTCACTTCAATGTTTAGCCAAGCAACTTGTTAAAAATGATAAGTTGATGGATATCTCAATGAACACCACCCTTATTTACAAGATTTCTTCCTCTCCTCTCCTCTCCTCCCCTTCCCTTTCTTTCTTTCTCTCTCTCTCTCTCTCTTTCTTTCTCTCTCTCTCTCTCTCTCTCTCCCTCCCTCCCTTCCTTCCTTCCTTCCTTCCTTCTTTCCTTCCTTCCTTCCTTCCTTCCTTCCTTCCTTCCTTCCTTCCTTCCTTCCTTCCTTCCTTCCTTTTAAGTGAGGTTTTGGAAATAGTTTATCTTTTTATAGCCAGAGGCAGAGAGGCTTAGTCTTCATCTTTTTGGAAGCCATATTTCAAATAACCCATATTTGCCAATGTATTGAATAATTTACCTTAGTAGGAAAAAATTAGGAACTTCAACTCAGTATGAAAACTAAATGTCGTATGAATTAGAAAGCATTAGTGATGCAGTTCAGTTAGAATTATGAAAAATTGCTTGCGATGGAGCAATAAAAGAAGATGGAAACAGAGATTGTTTTTTAATCTGTTATTTGATGACTGTACATTAGAAGTATAATCCATCATAGTATAAGTATAGTGATGATATGTACATAGATCATAATAGGCTGCCACAAAATTGAATTTTCTGTTTCTTATTGAATGTATCCAAGGCCACGATAAGCTGCTAAAAGTCCCTACTGCAGTCTTGATTATTGCATCTTGCTCTAGATAGTTGTATTAAGTTACCATTACTCAGCATAGTAGATAGGATGGATCAGAAGGCAAAGAAAACAGTATTTTCTTATATCCTACCATAAATCAAGAACTGGAGAGAGTTATTTGTGATTCCAAACACAAATAAAACACAAATTATGTTTTCACAAATACTTGATTAAAATTTGCCTCTTCCTTTATAAACAGGACAAAAAATGCAGTACATCTTCACAATGTGGAACTGATCATACTGACTGAATTTGACTGGTTCAGAAGGATGAAAATGTTGTTCAGTTTTTGTTTTAAAAAGAATACAAAAAACTTACTCAAATTTACAAATTTCACTATAAACCACCCAGGTTGGGGGGTGGGGGTGGGGGATGAAAAGAACAGGTCCAGCCATTGCTATCATAGATCATAGCAGGCACGTTCAAGCGCTAAATTAGATTTTGTCCCCAAATCTTATACACATAAAAATTCATAGGACTTTCTTCACATCTATTCTTCATGCTGGCAAATACTGAAGAATATAATGCAAAATGCCTTACATTACCTCCATAGGTAGGTGGTGGAGGTGCACAGAATAGAACAACTCCTTGTCCCTCTCTGACTGATACAGCACTTCTTGCTTTAGCTTCAAAGTTTTCAAGATCTTGGAGAAAGAAAGACAGGTGTTATCCATGTAACCATTTTGGGATCACAAAGCCAATATTGCCATCCATGCTACAATGACTCCTGTCTAAGTATGAGAATGATATGCAAAAATATTCAGGAGTGAAATTAATAAAATCTCATGAGATTTTATAATTTTGGCAAATGTTGGCAATTTTAATTTGGACAAACAATGTAAGAGTGGCATTTGACTATTGCAAGAGGACATGATGGTACCTGGTACCTAAAATAAATGTTATATTTTATCCTATTTTCAATGTAGTTAATCGGACTAAAGTAAGAAAAAAAACCACAACTTTTTAATATAAATCAGACTCATGTCTTTTATATATTTTAACAAAATGTTAGCCATGTTTAATTGGTTGGGATTTGGTTCCAATAGCAGCCTAAAAATATTCCAAGATTGCACTGAAAGCAGAAATATGATTTTTGTTAGTAAGTAAAGATAATTAGTTAGCTATTGGATTTATAATATGCCTAAACACAAAAGTAACTCCAGGTATCATATAAAAATGTTTAGAACACATTTTCAACAAATAAGAAGGAAATGATAGTAACAAAGTAATAAAATGGTGCATCAGGGAAATAAAAAAAAGTTAAACTATCAAAATCTAATGTTGGTTCATAAGGTTTCTGTCCCTTACCTGCTAGAAAGGCCAGAGTTTTAGAACTTTCCTTAAAAAAAGGATTCAGTCTTTTTTAATCTATGATATAGAATTCATATGCATATTATAACATATTGTGAAATAGAATGTAGTATCTATATTTTTACAATATCCTTAAATTATGATAAATTATAACTGTGTTTTCACTCACACCTCAACTGTTAACTTAATAAGAAACTTGTCTTTATACATCACTGAAATGTTATAAAGTTTAGATTTAAAATCTGGTGTAACTCCACGTTGTTTTCATCTCAAGTCTCAAAGTAGTGATCCAGTTTTGAATATCAAACAACAAAAAGGTGAGAAGAAAAAGATTTTCTGAAATTGAGCTTCAATTTAATCATTCTTTTAAAATAAAATATGTAGATGAGACTACATATGACTAAATTGGACATTATGTGGTCAGATTTCAGATTACATTACATTCTTCGTCTCAAGAGCCTATGGTAGTTGTAGAGGTGGTAAAAGAATGGTAGTACTTTGTCATTTCCTTCTTTAGGGGTATATTTTCAATTTTCTAATCTAGCCTATGTTCTTAATGTTCCATGGTCATCCATCACAGAAATACTAACCAGGCTTGACACTACTTTTAAAATCTGCTAAGTGACATTTCCTCACGATGGTTTCACTTCATATTTCATTGAAGTGGGAGAAAACAGGGATGTCTTTGAAAGGATAGCCCTGTGATTCTTCACACATAAAATGAAGCCATAAGTACAAGAACACCATGCTCCACTGAATAATCCCGCCCTCCCCCAAACATCTTATTTTCAACAAAATAATAAACAATGACTTTTTAAAGCAAATTTAATGAAGAGAGGTACAAAAGATAGAATAATTTATTTCCAAGCAATAGATCTATTGCTGGGAAATAAGCAGTGCTAGATCTAAATGCAATCTGAAATCTGCCCAATACCACACTGAACCTAATGTCTCTCTTCATCTACCTACCTAGCTAGCTAGCTAGCTATCTATATCCATCCATCCATCCATCCAATCTATCATCGTCTGTCTGTGTATCATCTATCTATCTACCTATCATCTCTCTCTCTCATCTATCTATCTATCGTATCTTTTATCAAATATATTTTTCTGCCTATCTTAAGTATAAAAAATAGAATGTGCCATCACATCCTGCACCAGCTGAAGTTTCTGAATGCTTTTCAAAGACAAGCTTATTTGGAACACATTGCAGTGTTACCCGAGAAGTGATTATGGGATGAGTGTCAGAGAGCAATGTTGTAAAAACTGGCATTCAAAATATCTGTGCAAAGAAGTGTTGGATCAGTTGGTATGCCACCACAGTCACAAAATTATCTCTAGACAGCTAATCTAGTTGTATGCTACAGAGTACCACATCTTCTCTAATGACAGTCCCTATTACTGCAACATCATCAGATTGCTCATCCCCACTAAGATGTCTGCAAGAGGGGTCAAAGGTGGGGTTTAATGAAAAGCATTTAAAACATTGCAATGAAAACTCTTCCCCCTTGTATGCATATTGTGTTTGTACGAAAAGTTCAAAATTTGTGTTAAAACTGGTGCAACCACTTTTATCACCACTTTTATTCCCCCTCACACATAATTCTAATCTAATTTGGCTTCAATGGGCTCTACAAACCCAGCCATTCTCTTGTGTAAAGTAGACCATTACATTAAGCCATAACAGGTCATTTGTTTGGACACAGAACACTATGTGAAAAGAAACACTGAAATATATTTTTTTCAATTTCAAATGTGAATTTTTGCATGTTGTTTAAGCCTACCCTAGTTTCCAGAAGTTTTATTTATTTATAAGGTTGTCCCAACTCAAGCAATATGACTCTGGGCAGTGTACAGTGTTAAATACAAAAATAAAGAAGAAAAACCCAAGATATAAATAGAAAATAGAAAATTCTCAGAAGCTACTGGTTGACTACAGTTGAACAGAATGCTATCCCTAAAGAACTTTTTAGCTGATAAGCAAGTTTCTTCTTTTATATTAATACTGTCATTAGGTCCTTTTACCATCCCATGTATGTTTCAGTGTGTTCATTCACACTAGAGCTAGGTGTTTTAGGTACATGGGTTCATAACTCATTGAAAATAACATATTTCACTTTATTTTTAATCTTTAAATGCTTCTTATGACAGCTATTCATTTAACACCCACTTAGTTTAACCCTGAAAATGCCTGGAAAGAGGAATGGTCCAGGGTACATTATTATGGCCTGATCATTAGTGATTCCTCTACCAAGTCATCTAGTTTTGACCTGACTCACTCTGTCTGGACAAAATTGAACAGAATTAGATGTTATACTGGAAGAAGTGTTTCTGCCCTGTATCAGTGGGGATGGAAAGATTCCCCTTGCTGTGACTGTGGTGCTGATATGCAAACTATTAAAAGTATTGTGCAAGATTGCCCATATAGTCCCTGGTTCTCTAGAACAGGGCTGTCAAACTCGCGGCCAATGGGTCAGATGCATCATGCTCTGGCCATGCCCATGCCGGGTTTAGCAAATGGGAAAAAAGTCCCGATATGTCATGTGCTGCCGCCATGATGCTCCAAGTTTGACACCCCTGCTCTAATCTGATCTGAATCTGAATTGGATATCCAATTATGAGGCCACTATCATACCCCTGTAAAATATTTGTATATAATTAGGTGGATTATGTGTATATGTTTACTTTTCTTCTGTCATGTTCTCATCATACAATAAATAAGTGCTTCTTAATACTTCAGTCAATTTCAGGAAAAAAAAACTGTAGAAGTACATGATCATCTACAGTGCCTGCACTGATTCATATATTAATTAGTAGTGCTACCTAATACCACAACTAAACATGTCATGAGCTAATGAAGACTTTTCTTCCTTTATCAAGAAGAGCAAAGCTGAGGGCAGGTGCTTAACATGGACTGCATTTGCTAATAGGCATTTTAGGCACAGCAGCTTTATTTCACAGACGACATGTTCACTGTGTTTCCTGCAGAAACCTATGAATAAGTTATTACCCGACTTGCCTTAATTCTCCTTTTCCTTCCCCTGCCAGCATTTGTCTTCCTTTGTGAGCATGGATGCCCCTCACACTGAATTTTGCTATCGGCTGCAATTTCCTTCCAATTTCCTTTCCATTGCCTCCTCCCCAACACTCCTCATTCCTCATTGCTTTCTGGCAAATAACTATTGCACACTGGAGTTAATCAGTCAACTCTGGAATGATACCATGTTGATAGAGCAGAGTCCTCAGATGTATTTGTGAGAACCTTCTGAGAATGGCATGGAAAACTGGGCTCAGCTGTATCCAGAGGGAAGTCATCATCATCCACAGGAACCACTCACAACCACAGCAAGCCCAAAATAAGCTTGTGGCAAGCAAAACATATGTTCCCCTGTATTAACCAAATTAGATTATCTCAAGAACAGTACTGATATAGACTGAACCATATGGGACATTTCCAGAGAGTGCTGAAAAACAACTTGAGAGAACAGGCAAGTTATTCAGTTGCTATTAATGCCAGTTTTTGAAATTTCACTTAGGACTTTTGAGATAAGTTTTGCTTTTCTTAAAGTACTAGGGTGGCATTTCTTGCAGAGACAACTTGTATTTTCATGCCACAATTTTCATGCACAATGCCTATGACTCTCATTGGGCATGATGTCTTCTTTTCTGGCTACTAAAAGGACCAATAAGGAAACTAAGCTTGAATTCATAGAATTACAGAGTAGCATAGAGTTGAAAGGGAACTTGGGGTCTTCTAATTCAACCACCTGCTCAAGCAGGAGACCCAATACCATTTCTCTTCTTAAAAACCTCTGGTGATGCAACACCCATAAGTTCTGAAGGCAAGCTGTTCCATTGGTTAATTGTTCTCACTGTTAGGAAGTTTCTCCTTAACTCTAGGTTGCTTCTCTCCTTGATTAGATTCCCGCCATTCTTTCTTCACTTGCCTTCTGATGGTATGGAAAATAAGTTGACCTCCTCTTCTTTGTCGTAGCCCCTCAAATATTGGAACACTGTTATTGTATCATCCCTAGTCCATCTTTTCTCTAGACTAGCCATGTCCAAAACTTGCAGCTGTTCTTCATATGTTTTAGTCTCCAGGCCCTTAATCATTTTAGTTGTTCTTCTTAGTACTGTTTTCAGTTTTGCAAATAAGTAGTCTCCAATAGGCCATATTGTATTGACAGAGTTCTTCACAATTTACCTCTTAGAAGGAACTGCTATTACTGAAGACAAATAAGGCAAATAAGTCAATGTGAATAAAAATATATAAATCTGAATAAAAAGAAATGGCTGTCCTGTCTCTTGACCAGCCCAGTTTTCTTGGACGTCA